CAATGGATCTTGAGTTTTTCGGCAATAAGATCCCGTTCCGATTTTACGACCAGTGACATAAATCACAACATTTTGAGTACATGTATAATGAGGGGACGTCAAGTTATGACAACGAATCTTCTCACCCTGAGAAAGCCCAGGTAGAGAAATTGGGTGCTGAAACGACTGATCCAAGTATCCATGTGGCCATGCACTCCAATCAGTCCTGTTCATGGGACGGTATTTCACCTCCACTTGACGATAAGACGAAGAAACAAAACATAATTCATTAATCTTCAGGTTTAGGTTTCCGTTTTCCTGAAATTATTTTTTTATTTTTATGTTACAATATCTTTTATTTGAATTCTGATGTACAGAAACACTGACATCACCGAAACTAAAACCTATATAATACATAGGCAGTTTAACGTTGGTTAATGTAGGTTTCTGGATATGTGCATATGGAGTCAAATTTATTTTCTACGATCGTTTCATTCAAGTTCTCACTAATAGAAACCACCAATGATGGTTTCCAGTTGCTTTTATGCAATGGAAACTAACAGTGATACTTACTGTCAGTTTCCATTTCTGGAAACTAACCTTGTTTGTTTCCGACAGTTTTCAGTCGCTGAAACTAACCGTGTTAGTTTCAGCAACAAAAGAAACTGCCGGAAACAAACAATCATAGACTTCCATGAGCGGAAACCTACATGATTCTGGCATTACCCAGTTTCATGTAGGTTTCGGAAATCTGGAAACCCTGTTATTTTTGCTGTGTATGTAATCACGTGAAGGATCTTAAACGAAAAACATGTTTCAGGAATATTGCAACGGATTTAAGGGTATTTACATTTTTTTAATTTAAAAGGTTTGTCATTGTATACATATTCTTAACTTGATATGGACATGACAACTTCATTCGTAAACGGGAATACTTTGAACAAGAGAACAAGACATGAAATTCATCCTCGATGCTGTAATCATTACAATTTGTACAAAAAATATTAACATTTTCAACATTTTTACACTTCCTTGCAATATTTACTTTAGAATCGTGTCGAGATATTCTAAATTTACATAGTACTCGTCGGAGGTTTTTATCTTCAACATGTTTTATGTAGAATTCTGGCTGCAGGGGATATATCCAAAGTCTTGAAATGTGCTAGATATGTTGAGTTTGAGATTTCATCATGCCATGTTTGAGCATTTCAGTCAAAAACGTTGTTTCAGTTGATAAATAAAACTATTTTCATTTCCGACATCCTGGGAGAAAACCATACATGTGAAAATCCACAAGAAAATAGCAGGCTCCTTATTTCCGATGTTCAATTTACTTTTCCTTTTTTTTCATCAAGTTTTCAGCAATAAATAGGATTGGTGAGGATATCTGCGCTCGTTCATTCTTAGTAGTCTGATCCAGTATTTGACAGCTTTTACTTGTGTACATATGTATAATGGGTATCGTCCAGTTTCTCCCAGAATTGCTTTATTTGCTGCAAATTTTCCAACGTTCAGAAATCTTTTAAAATAAGTTTCTTGTATCTTTTCTATACTTTCTTGATATTTGATTCCCCATATCTCAGACTCATAGAGCAGTATTGGTTCAATTTTGCTGTCAAATATGTGACAGGGAGACTCGAATGATATTGATGAGTATTGCTTGAAGAGACTGTAGATGGGAATGACGGCTTTTCCAGCTTGGGCGGAGAGACTCTGGCAGTTCTTGGTCCATTTCAGTGATGACGAGAATAGAGCTCCAAGATATTTATAATGTATTGTACATTTTACACGTTTATCTTCAAATGTCAAGTGCAGCAAGATGAATTATCATTACTTCTTTGAGTGGCATATTCAGAAGTTGGTGAATCACATAAGGACAAAAAGCTTTATGGATGAACAACTTCTTCAGGAAATTATCCTTAGGAATTATCAGCTGAGTTACAAAACAAACATCGATCGAGGGATTAACCGAGGTACACACGCTGATTTCTTGAATTCTTGAATTCTTGCACAGCAATTTTGTCAAAGGTATTGTTTATGCATGTAGATTTACTAATCCAACTTGAATACACCCTGTCATAAAAGTTCCTGTGTAGAAACAACGTCCTTCCTTCAATGGATCAATTGATTGTTCATTGTTAGCTAACAAAATTACTTGAATGGCAGACATCATGCAGTTAGTCGCCAGGTGTGCTATCTTGGGTGATCAATGAGTCTATACACCAATGTGAAAAACCTGTAAGGATTCCTATCACTTTTCGCATATTAGACTGTTAAAAGACACGTGACATGGAACAGGATTCTTTGTCAGCTGCAGATGAATGGCATGTCGTTCCTTTATGGGGATATTGATGGATACATTCCTCGAACAAGGTAATGGCCTGACAGTGTTGCTATAACTTTAGTTTGTTTTAATTTTATTATTTCTATTTTGTTTTATTCATTTTGTTGTAGCATTCAACAGAATCATTTTTTGCCGTGAAGTGTAATGAGACACTCGGTCGCACAAGGACGTGTGTGAAATATAATTCACGTTGGCAATCTATAAAATGTCCAGATATTACATTAATGTTATAAATTCACCATACGTATTTAAGCAGATCATTATGCTTTTCATTAAGTTTCAAAATGTATACAAATATGATAACAAACTAACGCAAAATATAAAGACGCACATTGACTTCGTTTGTTTTTTAGTCCTAACCTTTTTTACCACTGGCATATGGTTCAACTTCAAAATGTTTTCATTTGTTATCATAATACCGAAGATGGAAATATTATCGAATAAAAATATTTCGTCTTTGTTGATCAATCTATTGTTATAATCTCAATAACATATGGTTCACACAAGAACAAAAAGGGAACCCATGGTAAAGTGAAAAAAGCCCACAAACTATCGTGGACTGCTTAATTACCTTTTAAAGGTACCATCAAATCCCTGTCTCAGAGATTAACCATAATGTATAAATTAGTCAAATTAAGTCCAAATGATTTATGAACATTTTCATCCATCAACAAACTCTTAGATATTAATAAAACATGCATTTTGTGCAAAAGAATCTTTGCAAACTATATTTGATTTATACTGCTTAAATAGCTATCAATGTACCATCAGATCCCTTTGTCAGAGAGGAACCATAGTGCCTAAATTAGTCAAATTAGATGCATTTCGAGCAAAAGTAAAAATTCTCGCCCATGGGTGAGATCCATTTAATAACAATCTAAAGTACTCGAAAAAGTACTGCCTACTTACTTGGACTCCAAGGACATTTTCCGAACATCTTTCATATACCCAGAAGACGTGAATATTTGCTTTTTAGCTTTGTACGATACGAAATATATACGAAAACGAAACATAAAAGGTTAGATGACAATGTGGAATTATATACACATTTAAGTTACTCAAACTGACAACTAAAAACATAGACTACCAGTTGTCTGACTTGGTATACTTGAATGCTGGCGATTAAATGAGAGTGTGGCTCCAAATCACGACATTGGTTCCACCAAAATGCTATATCAATTTGTAACTTCTTAAAAAGCATTGTCGACCCGTGAAGATCCGGGGTAGAATAGGTCTTCAGCAACCCATTCTTATCATAAAAGGCGACTATGCTTGTCGTAAAAGGCGACTAACGGGATCGGGTGGTCAGGCTCGGTGACTTGGTTGACACATGTCATCGGTTCCCAATTGCGCAGATCAATGCTCACGCTGTTGATCACTGGATTGTCTGGTCCAGACTCGATTATTTACAGACCGCCGCCATATAGCTGGACTATTGCTGAGTGCGGCGTAAAGTAATAAGTTGGCAATAAGTATTCCGTTGCAATATAGTTGACACATTGCTGGCGGGATGTTCCTTATTGGCAATATACATTCCGCGGCAAAAAAAACAAGGGTCGGGTGGAAGTGGGGTGGGTATGTGTATCAGCGCCATGTAATGTTAACCTTACCCATGGTTACAGCCTACCTGGCCTAAAATTCACAACTGATAAAACCCACCTAAGCTAATTATGGTCGGCCAACATCATTAATGAGGTAATAGCTATAGGATCGCGAAACCAGAGTGGAAGAGGCCACTGATCAGTGGACGGGTGCCGCTCTGTTGATTACTGTGAAATGCTATGTAGCTGTTGACTAGGGCTTGCTGCAGTTACTCACTAACACCATGACTATCCTGGAGTGCACAGACTCGGTATCGCACTTACTTGGTGTTTGGGAACAGTGAACAACAGGGTGAACATGAACGATGTGACTCTAATTTGTGTTCTTTCATAAGTGTTCCATGTAAAGGGTTTTGATTTCGTCTTTAAATAATATCATCTCATTAAAATAGTACTATTCTAAACAAATTCTTCCAAAAGTGGCAAAGTAACTACCAAAATTCAAAATCATAACTAAACAATCAAAACACTTAAAAGATTAAAACTTAAAACAACTACCATAAATCTAGAAATATTTACAGGACAATAGCCAAATTACAAAAAAGCCATAGAAAATTAAACTCCAAACAGACAAATTCACACACTGCAACGAAACAGAAACGCCCGAGCACGTACTACAACACTGCATACACTAACAACAACACAGAATGGTCCTCCAGAGTTCACTGGACACAAACACACACCTAACACTACAAACACTTCTAGGTCCACTAAATAACACCCAAACATTCAAAGCCTTAGGTATAATTATTATCAAAACTGGACTTCTACTTCGCATATAATCCCATATAACCAGATAGTGCTAACTTTAAAAATACAAAATCAAAACATAAAAGTACTTACATAAAACATATAAAAACAAAACATAAAAATAAACAAAACAAGCACTACATTGAAAATGCAAACACAAAACATAAAAATAAGCAAAACAAGTACCCTGCCGTCATACGATTCCGTGGTACTCACGTTTCCGTGGTATTTTTTAATGACGTAATTTCTCGCGAGCCGCTCACCAAATCGCGCCACCTACCGATTGTTTACATACATCAGTCGATCGTCACGGCTCCGAGCAAAAAATGTTGAGAGTTTCGTCAATTTGCGTAAGTACAGTCATCTAATATTAAAAACTAATGTAACTTTATGTCTAGCACGTAATGCACTTTTTGTGCGATCTTTACAAACATTTTCTATAACTTTCTTCAGCTTCAAAGTTTTCCAAACATCGCTCGTCTGCTAGCTGACGTAATAAATAAAAATAATCACGTGACCTAGTAGGGGAATCCCTGCTCTATTTTAAGAAGTATGGAAGCCCGATAGGGTCATCTCTTAAGTGGGTTTTTTCACCATTGCAGGGCATTCCTGCGCGACGAAAACGGCAGTATCGATCTTACAGTCCTACTCAACTTCAAACTGCTTACCTAGAAGTAATTGAAAAAGGGGTTTCTGTGTATAAGGCTGCTAAGATACACTCTGTACCTGAACAAACTCTTACGGACCGTGTGAAAAGCATCACTTCGCCAGAATGCTTGTCTTCAGGTCCAGGACCGCTATTAAGTCAAGAAGAAGAGGCTCGTCTTGTCAGTCATTTGAAACTTATGGCGTCTGTCGGATATGGCTACACCAGGGCACAAGTTATCTCCCTTGGGACGGAGTATGCTATCACTTTGGATAAAAGAACCAAGCAAGACAATAATCTGTCTTTGCAGTGGTTTTATAGCTTCATGGGCAGATGGCCAGAACTGAAACTGAGACGTCCTCGTTCACTCACACAACTTCGAGCTACAGCAACATCAGAGGAAAATGTCGAGAAGTATTTCTCGCAGCTGGAAGAAGTCCTTGACAAGTACCAGTTAAAGTCAAGCCCAGAGATGATCTACAACGTTGACGAGAAGGGGATAAATTTAACACACTCAGCACCCCAAGTTGTTGGATCGTCTACTGAGGTTCCCATCGAGATCTGTCCTGAAAAATCGGCTACTGTAACAGTTCTTGGGTGCGGTAACGCCATCGGCCAGAAGATCCCACCCTTCTTCATTTTTCCTGGGACTCGTATGCGGGATGACTTGCTCGAAGGATCCAGCGTTGGTACATCTGGAACTGTCAGTGAGAGTGGTTGGTCCAATTCCGATATTTTCCAACGTTGGATGGTTGAACACTTCTCAAGATACGCCAATATCGGAAACGAGAAGAAAGTCCTGCTACTCTATGATGGACACCGTTCACATATAACACCAACACTCATTGATTTTGCTGTGTCAAAGGGGATTATCTTGTTTGTGTTGCCACCGCACACAAGTCATGTACTTCAACCCATGGATGTTGGTTGTTTTGGACCATTTACCAAGATTTTCAGCGCCGAATGCAGGAAATATCAACGTTTGAATTCCGGAACCGTCAATAGGTACAGCGTTTGTGGACTTGCATGCAAAGCAAATGAACTCTCTCTCTCTTCATTCAACTTGCAGAGCTCATTTCGGAAATGTGGGATATTTCCTTTCAATCCAGCGTCTATTGACAGATCTTTCCTCAAGCCATCGACCTATGCTAAGGAACAAGCGGAAAAAACATCAGAGGAATCACACACAGACCTCGCCGATCCCGATTTCTTTGATGAACATCTTCCCGTGGTCACTCTTAAGAAGTCTCAGAAACCACGTCGGTCCATACATAAGATCGTCGGCGGTCAAGCTATCACAGAGCCGGCTATATCTACACAGGTCATGGAATATGTAAATCAGACTAAAAGGCCATCTGCGACTCGTGCGAAATCTTCAGCTGCCCGAAACAAAGGACAGATCTCGATGGGAACCTCAACATCAAACAGAAGAAATCTACTGCCGGGGGGAAAAAACAGAAATCAGGTCGCTCATCAGTCGCCAATAAGTCTCATTCTTCCCCGAAACCTTGACCATCTGGTAATGACAAGCTGCTTATATCCAGCGACGATGACCGCTCTGATTCAGATGTAACTGACAGCGAAGAAGAGAAGTGTTGTGTTTGTGGTAAATTTCAGCCCGAAGAATTGCGTCGTTGTCCACACGTGGAATTCACCAAGTGGGGTCAGTGCATGTTTCGTGACTGTGAGCATTGGGTGCATCTCAAGTATTGTTGTACCACCTCATTCCTTCGCCGTCACGACGAATTTTACTGTCCATGTCATAATGAAGAGTAAATTACAGTGTTAACTGTGCAACCCTCATGGAAAATTCATTACGTATTCCATTGTTCAACAGTACATATTTGGAGAACAGGAAATTTATGCTGAAGAAATGTGACTATTGTGTTAATTCTTTAAAATTGGTAACTGTGTTACAATTTTCCAACTTCGTTTATTACTGTAAACCTACATTAACTCTACTGGATTGGATGTCGCCAACACATGAGATTGTGGCATGTGCTGTGCGCCCGTAGTTTCATCTGTGAGGAATACCACGGAAACATATGACGTCACCGGAAATTGTGCACAATGGCCGCCTGTCGTCTGATATGGTTTACAATGAAATTCAGAATGACACAAGGGTTTTATTGGCATTAAATGATACACAGGTATGTAGTCTAACACTATATTATGTTTATATGACTTGTAAATGTCAGCGATCCTACTCATTGTCGTACATTTCTTAATACCACGGAAACCCATGACGCGAGGGTACCAGCTAAACCATCTCGTGTCTTTTTCCCGACCACTTCTTACACATTTCCGAATTAAATTTTAAGTGCAATTTTAAGACAACACGCAACACTTAACCAATCTAACTGAAGTTGGTGTGTGACAGCAATCGGCAATATACAATATGCAATTTTAAATGGCGACAGCTCGTGTGTTATTAACGGTAACACCTGTGACAGGAGTTATGTTAACAGAGATTTGATGACAGTCTCAAAGGATTTGTCATGAGGAAGGTACGGTTTTATCACATATTTCTGTTGATACTTTGAAAGTTATTATGATTAATATATATCATTATCATGATGCCCCTGTACGTATATGTTCAGTGAACTAATTTAGCAATTTGATCAAAATCCTGATAAATGTCGCCTAAAAATTAGACAAACATGTTTTCCTTATTTTCCAGCTGAAGAAAAACGTTTTCGTCCTTATTGCATTCACATGCTTGCTAAGTATGTTGCAATGGATCTTGAGTTTTTCGGCAATAAGATCCCGTTCCGATTTTACGACCAGTGACATAAATCACAACATTTTGAGTACATGTATAATGAGGACGTCAAGTTATGACAACGAATCTTCTCACCCTGAGAAAGCCCAGGTAGAGAAATTGGGTGCTGAAACGACTGATCCAAGTATCCATGTGGCCATGCACTCCAATCAGTCCTGTTCATGGGACGGTATTTCACCTCCACTTGACGATAAGACGAAGAAACAAAACATAATTCATGACTTATTACGTGTGGTAAGTATTAAAGTTGATCGTCAGGCATACTTGTAAGGAATTACTGAATGTTTGTCTTCGTCTTGAAGAAGAATAAATCTGTTTCATGAACAAAGAAAATGTCATCAATTTAAAAATTGTGAATGCAACAATTTTCCCAAAGTCAATCCCCTAGAAGTGGAATGCATAAGAAAAACAAGATATATGGATAGCAACTTCTTTATTGTGTTGGGTTTCGGAGCGTGTGCTTGCTCCTTTTTTAGGTGAATGGTAGGGTAGTAGTAGTTATTTGCTTTATTTAACGTCGCACGCACAACTAAGGTATTTCGGCGACGGGGTAGTACACTTATTAAGAATTGAGGGGGAACAAAAAATAGAAATTTGAAAGAGTGGTGTTACTACCCGAAAAAAAAGAAGAAAAACAGCTGACTACTAAGGAAAATTTGAAGGAGGCGGGAGAGGGTGAGAATTAAAAAGATAAAAAAATAAGAAATAGGTAAAGAGTAATAGAGATTTGGAATTTTATATAGATGTAGTGTAGTAAATGGTTATTGTTATTACTATTGTTTTCACAACCAGCCCATGTTTAAAAACATATTTATTATTATGTAAATAATGGAAAACATATAAAAGGTTAAAAATGAAGTTGATAAAAAGAGCGATCTAATTTGAAAAGTTAAGAGAACATATATACTTACAATTTTTAAAGTGGTTAAAGGTGGTATTATTGTTTTTGTTGCTAGATTGTTTGGTATATAATTTTGTATGAATGAGATATTTAGTGAGTGATTTAATTAATTTGGGATTTGCTAGGATGGGCTTGAGATCAGTAGAGTTAGCATTTTTGAGGTACTGTTTTAAAGCATGGGGTAAATGGGGTTCTTTGTTTGTTATAATTTGAGCAGTAAAAGATAGTGTGGGTTATTGTTTCAGGAATTTGGCAAGTGATACATTTGCCGTTTGAATGAAGGTTGATTTTGTGTACATAGTGATAAGGATTGCAATTTGCTATTCTTAGTCTGGTTATGGCAACATCAATTCGGCGTGTTTGGTGATCATGTTTACATTTTGTATTTAGTGTTTGTTGAATTTGGTAGAGTGGATAATGTTTTCCTATTATTTGCCAGTTACGATTGAATTTATTTATTATTGTATTGTTAACTTTATTTGTTAGGTCTGTTTTGGTGTAAGGTATTTTTATTTTGTTTTTTTTGAGTGGAGTCCAAGTTTGGCAGCTTGGTCTGCCATTTCGTTGCCATGGACTCCGTTATGTGACAGGACCCAGATAAAATGTTTTTGATTATTTTTATTTTGGTGGTATGGCATTCTCCTGTATATGTTATTTATTAGATCTGTTCTTTTTGTTGTAGAGTAATTTTTGAGAGCTTGTATGGAACTTAAGGAATCCGTAAAAATGCAGATAGTAGTATTTGTTTGGTCCGATGTTGTTTGCAAGGCCTGAGCTATGGATGCGTGTTCTGCTGTGAAGATACTGGAGTTTGCTGGGAGATTATAGGATTGTTTAAGGCGGGGTTTTGTTTTGTTTTGTTTTGATTTTTTTTTTTTTTTTTTTTGGGGATGTTGATACCAAAACCAGTATTTCCATTTTGGTCCCTGGATCCGTCAGTATAGATGTGAAGATTATCTTGTGAATGGTAATTTTGTTGTATGAATTCTTGCACTGTTAATTTATTAATGTAAGTATATTGTGTTCAGTAAGTTTTGTGTTGGCCAGGATTTTTCCCAGTAATACTGGAGAAAGAGATTTGTAATATGGGTTTGTATTATATTCTGTAGTATATAAATCAAGTTGTTTAATTTCATGTATTTTCTGTCCAAAAGGTTTTGGGTATTTGCCTTTATTGATAATGATTTTATTTGTATTTTTAAGAGGTGTATAGTGGTTTTCAGTTTTGTTTGTAATGGGGTTGTTAAGGGATCGAGTTACATATTTCATTGTACATCTTTCCCATTCGAGTGTGGGGTCTAGTTCCCGCATTCTACCAATAATGCTTGGGGGATGTTCCTGGGAAGGCTCCAGTTATACATTTAAGTGCTTGGAATTGGATGGAACTGAGTTTGTTTTTATGTGTTTGTGCCATATCTTGAAATATTTCGCAGGCATAAAGTAATTTAGATTTGATGAGTGAGTTATATAGTAGTAGTAGTATTTGTTTGTTGCTACCCCATTTACTATGTGATAGGTATTTAATAATGTTGAGATCTGACTTGCATATTTCTTGCATGAATTGAATGTGTTTGTTCCTTGTTAAGTGCTGGTCAAGGATTAGACCTAGAAACTTTACTGTATCTGATTGCGGTAATTTTTGTTTGTTAATATAGAGATGTACGTTTTGTTTTCTTCGATGTTGTGCTTTGAATACTACAGTTGTTGTTTTTGTGGTAGAGTGTTGAAACCCCCATTAGTTGCTCCAGTTTTCAATATGGTTAAGTGCTTAAATTTGTTTTTGTGCTTTGTGTAAATTGTTTTCATTAGCCCATATTGCTCCATCGTCGGCAAACTGGGATTTGTTTATGTTTTTACTGAGGTTGTTGAATATATCATCTACCATAACATTGAAGAGAGTGGGTGAGATGATACCTTCCTGGGGTGTGCCATTTTCTAGAAAAATATATTTTCTCATGACTGGTGCCGCGTACAGCACCACATATTGTGCGTAGAGCATCTAGGTGTAATTTTTCAAGGGAGTGACTTTGTTCTTTACTGCAATTGTCCCAGATATGAGAACATTAGTCAAAGAGAGGAAGAATAAATTGTTTGTAAATATTGTCTAGGCTCTTACGTGATAATCTATATTTCAAGGACCTAAAGCAGTTGATCATCGGGGATACTTTCTTGATTATGTCGCTAATGTGTTCATACCAATTACAGTTACTTTGCAATGTTAAACCAAAATGTTTATTATGAGAAACTTTAATATTGATATTATTCATGTGAAGATCAGGAAGTCTAGTGGGTGTTTTTTTACGTGAAAATGATATGCTTTCAGTTTTGTTAGGATTAAAAACGACATTCCAGTCTCTAGCCCTATTAACATTTTTTTTCTAAGTCATTATTAAGGTACGTAGCAGTATTATCAGGGTTATCGACAATAATATAAAGGCATGTGTCATCAGCGAATATACGGATGTTACTATCAATGTTATCAACTAAGTCGTTAATGTATATCAGAAATAATGAATGAATATTTCACAAATCAAACAAACGTTAGTTATCCAGACAGGAATATTGAAGAGTTTGTTTCATATACTGATAATTCTTTATGTGACGTTTATCTGAACCAAAACGAAGTTTATGATATTCTTTCTTCTGTAGATACTACGAAAGCAATAGGTCCAGACGGAATTAGCAATAAGTTTCTGAAAATGAACGCTCGATTGTTTGATTGCCCCTCGATCAGATGTCTTTAACCAATCCCTTTCTGAAAACACCTTTTCTCAAGTTTGGAAGAAGGCCTCTGTCGTCCCCATTCACAAAAAAGGTAGTATAAATGACTGTTCCAATTATAGACCCGTTGCACTCACAAGTTGTCTGGCTAATATTTTTGAAAAGTGCG